GATCAGCATGAAAGTATAGTTTTTAAAACAACTTTTGTTCTCTTGCATATCTTGTCACTATTGTCACATCCACCACGATGAAGAAGATAATGGGTCAGATTTCCTGGCAACTGGAAATCTCACGGAGGACTTTCTTTTGACAAGCGAGCTCCACACTTCTAAGAACGGTTCTGAAGATGGGTCACTGGACGCAAGACATTAACTCTGTTTACTCTCCACAGGCGCTGCCAGACCTGCAGCAATTTCTGTTTTTGTTTCTAAGAGGAGATTCTACTCAGGGCTCCTTCAGAAATGCAGAGCCATCTTTCCATTCTGACTGCTCTTTCACAGTGAGGAACTGGCAGAGGAAGGCAAACCGCATTCTCAGCAATCAGCCCCTGTATTCTGAAATGTAAAGATCCTGACAGCCACATTGATAGGTGCTGTCAAAGGCAAGTACATAAACTGAGTGTGAAGTTAGGTTGCTGGGACAGCAGGGTGCCAGGTGGGTAGAGGGGTAGGGTACCACCAAGTAGGTGGGTTGGGTGCCTTTGGAAAGGGATGTGGGATGCTAAGTGAGTATGGTGCCAGGGTACAAGGTGGACAGAGGGTCAGGTAAGCATTTAGTGTAGATTAAGGTGGACGAGAGAAATTGGGTGCTGTGGGTGGGGAAGTGATACCTGGTCTAGAGGCTTCAGGTCCAAGGAGGCATGGGGGTCAGGTCTGGTCCAGCAGAGTGGCTAGGTAGAATGTGTCTAGTCAGGATTAGTGGAGAGGATGTGGGTGGTAGGGAGGGAGTTGCGATCTGGTCTGGGGGGGAGTCAGGTCTGGTGACATGGGGGTTTGGGCATGGTCTAGTCTGTCAGAGAGAGGGGAATGTGTAGTCAGGTCCAGCGCCAAGTGTGTCAAAGTCCTATGCACATGCATCATCAGCATCACCAAGGCCAAAGCTGGACTGGACCAAATATCAAATCCCGAATTATCTGCTTTTTCTGAAACGATCATCTATCTTACTCTAAAACAATTGATGAAATAATCGTGTATGGAGTTACCTGTTCCTTGAATGTCATGTGCCAATTTGATGGACAACTTTGGGAACAGAAACACAGAAGATACAGTTTATGGATAAATAAAACAATTTTCATGCTACCTCGTAATTTTTAATCACTATTATTTTTCAGGCAAATATTATCTGTGGTGTTTCCTGATCCACAAATTTGTGGTTAGGCATTCTATAACAGAAAATTCCAAAATCTAAAAATTAGTTGATCTCAAGCATTTATGATTGAAAAGTGGTTACCGTCTATACAGGTTTCCTTATTCAAGAAGTTGCTGGACATTGCAACAATTGCTTTTAGAGAGACAATGTTCCATATCTCTTCTGTAAGTGATGCTCAGAATTTCTCCAGTTTAAACTCATTGACATTTACGGGCAAACATACGATCACTATTTCCAAAGGAAAAGTGGGCTGCTAGGATTTGACAAAAAATTGACTGAGGTGAAAACTAATTATTTAGTCCTTGAAAATTAGCCAGATTGTAAGGCTCACAGTCAAGGAAGTTCGCATTCAAGAATCATATCAATACAAATTATTCAAAAATGGACAAGATTTTAATTTCACATTCTAATAAAAGGAATTTTTGATGGGATTACAGTCAAATTTATCTCAAGTCATTGTCCCATTTTTACTAGAACAAAAATAAAAAAGAATATACAAAATCTAATTTAACATTTCTACAGAAAACAGATTTGTTTGAATTAAATGGGATTATGTCTTCTAATTCCAGAGTCTTAAAATCCAATTCCAAAGCAACTGGAAATTCTCTTTCCAATCTAGTGCTGTAATTTTCCTTGTAGGGTAATAACATTTCCCAAGAAGGAATTATACAACATTAGAACAATTGAATTGAAAGGGAGTTTAAACTTGCTGCCTCGGGAAGGCAGCCAATATAATCAAAGACTCGTCCCACTCCAGTTATAATCTCTGCCAACCTTTTCCATTGGGCAGAAGACACAAAAGCTTAAACACACATACCAACAGATTCAAGACAACTTCTTCCCCACAGTTATTAGACTTCTGAACGGACCCCTCAAATTATAAATTTAATGTTGATCCCAGTCTTTGTGCAGTATCTCTGCAGTGGTAACATTGCATTCTTAGCTCTGTTCTATTATCCTAATGCACTTTCTATGGTATGATCTGCCTATACTGCGTGCAAAACAAAACTTGTCACTGTCCCTAGGCACATGTGACAATTATAGTTAGTTGTTAAACCATTGGCAGCACATGGAATTGATACTGTCTACTCTTTACATATTTCCCATGTGTGCAGGCAGGGCAACAGATCAGTTGTTTTACTGAAGTTAATTAGTTAATTATATATTGTTGTAAATACCCAATTCCATAATTTACATGTTTTAGAATATAGCTTTCTGCTTCAGGAATATATTTAGGTTGGAAGTTATGATGATACAATCAAGAAATTTAGAAAGAAATTCCATTTGGCTTGCAATTAAATTTACTTGGATCAAACCCTTGTGTATCTTTAGACTTCTTGTTTACTTTTAAATTCCAAAATGTGTTGTTTTTAGAAGGAGGACTACTGCAGAAGAAAATACCTGTGCTTTAAATTCAGTTACTGTCTGGCAAAGTCCTGTGTGGAGTCCATGGAATATCACACGTGTAAATTGTCATAGGGACTTCAAGCAGGCTGGACTGTGACCTCTCATGACTAGAGTGATGATGAGGAGCTGATGACCTCCTGCTCAACAGCAAGCCACCTCCTACGGATTATGTCCAAAAGTGCTATCAGTTTGTGTGTCTCTCTTTGAAGATCACACCAGGACAGTAGTTAAAAAAACACACGAGCGGAGGGGACTAGTGTAATTGAATGCTTTCATATGTGCACACCCTAATGTGTGGTGAATGTCACTGTCAAAATATTACCCCTCAGTGTGCTTGTGTCACAGGAAGACTGTAGTATCATACAAGCAAATATAGATATAGAAGAGGCCTGTCAGTCTTTGAGTCTGTGCTGATTAAACTACTTTAAATTACAGCAGTCTCACTTTCCAGCACTAGACTCATAACCATGAAGGTTATAATATTTCAAGTGCTCATCCAGCTAATTTTTAAAGGTTATGAGGTTTCTCACTTCACCTACCCTCTCAGGCAGCACATTTTAAATTCCCACCACCCTCTGGGTGATATCCGCAAATATTCCGCAAATTCCCTTTAAAGCGCTGCCTTTGACTATCGCTTGCCCCAAGTACTACAAAGCAGGAAAAAAATTAATCAGAACAAAGGAACTTTAGTCGATCTACAAAATCAAGAATCTCAAAAAATTACTGTTCAGCCATTACCATCACTGCTACCGGCAGACTCTACTGTAACAGCCACAACGCTTAACTATCCACTCTGCAAACAATTTAACAAGATAAGACCATAAGACGTAGGAACAGAAATTAGGCCATTCAGCCCATCGAGTCTGCTCCACCATTCAATCATGGCTGGTAAGTTCCTCAACCCCATTCTCCTGCTTTCTCCCCATAATCCTTGATCCCCTTGACAATCAAGAATCCATCCATCTCTGACTTAAATGTATTCAATGAGCTGGCCTCCACAGCCTTGTGTGGCAGTGAATTCTATAGATTCACCACTCTCTGGCTGGATAGGTTTCTCTTTATCTCCGTTCTAAAAGGTCTTCCTTTTACTCTAAGGCGGTGCCCTCGGGTCCTAGTCTCTCCCACCAATGGAAACATCTTCCCAACATCCACTCTGCCCAGGCCATTCAGTATTCTGTAAGTTTCAATTAGATCCCCCCTCATCCTTCTAAACTCCATTGAGTATGGTCCCAGGGTCCTCAAACGCTCCTCCTATGTTAAGTTTTCCATTCCTGGGACCATTCTCATGAACCTCCTCTGAACCTGCTCCGGGACCAGTACATCCTTCCTGAGATATGGGGCCCAAAACTGCACACAAAACTCCAAATGTGGCCTGACCTGGGCCTTACAAAGCCTCAGTAGTACATTCCCGCTTTTATTTTCAAGTCCTCTCAAAATAAATGCCAACATTGCATTTGCCTTCCTGACTACTGACTCAACCTGCAAGTTTACCTTGAGAGAATCCTGGACTAGAACTCCCAAGTCTCTTTGCACTTCAGAATTCTGAATTTTCTCCCCATTTAGAAAATAGTCCATGCTTCTATTCTTCCTACCAAAGTGCATGACCTCACACTTTCCCACATTGTACACCATCTGCCACTTCTTTGCCCACTCTCCTAACCTGTCCAAATCCTTCTGCAGCCTCTCCTCAATACTACCTGTCCCTCCACCTATCTTTGTATTGTCTGCAAACTTAGCCAGAATGCCCACAGTTCCTTCATCTAGATCATTAATGTATGAAGTGAAAAGTTGTGATCCCCACACTGACCTTGCGGAACACCACTAATTACCGGCTGCCATCCTGAGAAAGACCCTTTTACCCCCACTCTCTGCTTTCTGCCAGACAGCCAATCTTCTATCCATGCTAGTGCCTTGCCTCTAATACCATGGGCCCTTATCAGCAACCTCCTGTGCGGCACCTTGTCAAAAGCCTTCTTGAAGTCCAGGTAGATAACATCCATTGGCTCTGCTTGGTCTACCTTGCTCGTTACTTCTTCAAATAATTCTAACAGATTTGTCAAGCATGACCTTCCTTTGATGACTTTGCCCTATTTTACCATGCACTTCCAAGTATTCAGAAATCTCAGCCTTCACAATGGACTCTAAAATCTTACCCACGGCTGAGATTAGGCTAATTGGCCTGTAATTTTCAGTCTCACTCCCTTTTTAAACAGGTGTGTCATGTTAGCAACTTTCCTGTCCTCTGGGACCCTCTCTTACTCTAGCAATTCCTGAAAGATGACCACTAATGCCTCCATTATCTCTTCATCCATCTCCTTAAGAATTCTGGGGTGTAGGCAGATTTCAGACGACATGGAAGGAAGTATGTGGCGAGAAGGACCAGAAGGGAGCACCATGCATTGGCCACGAATTGAACCTGGGTCTCCCACATGGCAGGCAAGAGTTCTACCACTGAACCACCAATGCAAGCAACATGTGTATCTGTTCTTTTTTTTTAACTTTTATCTTTCTGGACTCACCTCTTATTTCTAATCTGTATGCAAATAAATAAACTTGTCTTTTTTTTGTTAGCTCAGGAAAGCCTAGTTAAATTGACTCATGTTAAAACATAAGTTCATTTAGGACTGAAAGTAAGATATTCACAAAGGGCGGGACACCTTTAAAATATCTTTCTAAATTAACCTTGTTGCAACCAAGAGAGAAGATGGGTGAGTACAAAAGGGGAGCCAGTGCAGGATCTCACACATCTTCTCAAGTTGAGTGAGTTCCTCCTCAAATAGTATTCCTGTAAGTTTTTTTATGAGTTTCATCCACTCGCAATTCGTTATACACCACCACCAAGTTAACAAATGGGTCATTTTCAGGCTTGCAAATCGACTGCGGTTCAATTCCACACCATCTGTGGGAGTTTGCACATTCTCCCTGTGTCTGTGTGGGTTTCTTCTGGGTGCTCGCATTTCCTCCCACTGTCCAAAAGATGTACAGGTTGGATGGACTGGCCATGCTATATTGTCCGTAGTGTCCAAGGATGTGCAGGCTAGGTGGATCAGTTTTGGTAAATGTAGGGTTATGGTAATAGGGTGGGGGTCTACATCTGGGTGGGATGCTCTTTGAAGGGATGCTCCTATGATGCTGCTTGGCTTGCTGTGTTCATCCAGCTCTATACCTTGTTATTCTCAGATTCTCCAGCATCTGCAGTTCCTACTATCTCTGCTCTTTGAAGGGTCAGTGTGGACTCGATGGGCTGAAAGGCCTGCTTCCACACTGTAGGGATTCTATGATCCTTACTGAAGCACAGTGAGCAGGATTTAATGTTGCTGATGGGATCCCAGCAGCATCCACAAAAGTGGGAAACATTACATCTTCGTGCGCAAGAAACTGACCATTTCAGAACTGGCCAGTTAAGGAAAGAGAGAGAGGTATTAGTCCTCTCCAGTCAAATATCTACAGTAACAACAATCCCAGCATCAGACAGTGAAAGCTTAAGGAGTGGTGCCTGGCCAGTGTGTTCTGTAACCTACTTACCCCTCAGCTGCAGATGCTGGGGTCACACCCAGAAGTGCATCAGAAAGATTTTTTTTTAAATTCATTTTGTGGGATGGAGACATCGCAGGCTGGCCAGCAGTTATTGCCCGTCCCTAGTTGGCCTTGAGAAGGTGGTGGTGAGCTGCCTTCTTGAACCACTGCAGTCCACCTGCTGTGGGTTGACCCACAACGCTGTTAGGGAGGGAATTCCAGGATTTGGGCCCAGCGACAGTGAAGGAATGGCGACATATTTCCAAGTCAGGATGGTGAGTGACTTGGAGGGGAACTTGGAGGTGATGGTGTTCCCATATACCTCTTGCCCTTATCCTTATAGATGGAAGTGGTCATGGGTTTGGAAGGTGCTGTCTGAGGATCTTTGGTGAATTTCTTCAGTGCATCTTGTAGATAGTACACTCTGCTGCTACTGAGCGTTGGTGGTGGAGGGAGTTGATGCTTGTGGATGTAGTGCCAATCAAGCGGGCTGCTTTGGCCTGGATGGTGTCAAGCTTCTTGAGTGTTGTTGGGACTGCACTCATCCAGGCAAGTGGGGAGTATTCCATCACACTCCTGGCTTGTGCCTTGTAGATGACGGACAGGCTCTGGGGAGTCAGGAGGTGAGTTACTCACCACAGTATTCCTAGCCTCTGACCTGCTCTTGGCCACCTCCATGGGGATACTGGACTGAGAGAGTCATTGATGATCGTTAGTAATGAGACGAGAAGAGATGCCTCCAATTGGTTGTGTGTGGAAGCCAGCAGAGGATAGGAGGTCATGAGCTGGCATGGATTAATAATTAGCTAACAGACAGAAAACAGAGAGTAGGAATAAATGGGTCATTTTAGTGTTGGCAGGCTCTGGTGAGTGGAGCACACAAGGATCAGTATATGGACCCCAGCTGTTTACAATATATATCAAAGATTTGGAGTTGGGGACAAAATGTAATATTTCTACATTTGTGATGATACAAAGCTAAAAGGGAATGTACATTGTGCGAAAGACATAAAGCAGCTTCAGGAGGATTTGGACAGATTTAGTGAATAGGCAAGAACATGACAGATGCAATATAATTTAGACAAATGTGAGGTTAACCACTTTGGTAAGAAAACCAAATGTGCAGAATATTTCTTAAATGGTAAGAGGTTGGAAAGTGTAGACGCACAAAGCAATAGAAGTTTCTTTGTCAATAAGTCACTGAAAGCGAACAATGCAGGTTCAACAAGTTATTCAGAAGTCTGTTGGAATGTCAATGTTTACAGCAAGAGGATTTGAGTACAGGTATGCTTCAATGGTTAGACCACACCCACAGTACTGTTTGCAGTTTTGGTTTCCTTATCTCAGGAAAGATATTATTGCCTTAGAGAGAGGGTAACAAAGATTCCCCGGACTTGTTCCTGGGATGGTGGGACTATCCTATAAAGAAAGATTGGATAGCCTATGTTCTCTAGCTTGCAAACCACTTAAAGGGTAGGTGTAGACAGGGTAGATGAAGGTATGATGTTTCCACCAGTTGGGAGCCTGGATGGAGGGGCACAATTTCAAAATAAGGGGGATTCCACTTAGTTCCAAGATGAGGAGGAATTGTTTTAGTCTGAGGGTTGTGAAACTTTGAAAATATATCCCACAGGGGGCTGTGGAAGCTCAGTCTTTGAGCAGGTTTAACGAAGAGATCGATAGATTTCAGATTAGCGGCAGTGAACATGGGGATGGGGATGGAGTGGGTAAAAGGCATTGAAGTGTTCATTCAACCGTGATCATACTGTATGCTGGAAAAGGCTTGTTGCAATGACCCAATGCCTGTTAGAAGAAGCTGTGGATTAAATTGTCACAGGCCTTGCAAATGTGTATTTCCAAAGCCAGGGTTTCTGGCACAGGAAGTTTTCACTGCTGCCCTGCCTCTTTTGCCACCTCATCTACATCCTCTTCATCAGAAGAGGCGTGAGTCTTCTCAAAGTCTACAGGGTCTCCTTTAACAACAGTTTGTGTCAGAGGATTCCACATCCTAACAATTCTCTGTGAAGATGTACTTTAACCTCCCCTGTAATCATTCTACGGTAATTTAATATATTTATGGATTTGTAGTCCCATCCTGATACCAGCATAGATAATAACTTTTGATAATCTTGAAGAAACTATCAGCCTTCTATAACTCCTTCTCAAGATTCTCGTACTCATTCATCCCCAGTAGTAAGGCTCAGGCCACCCTCCAGCATCTCAGCATGTAAACAAGGCTGACATTGCATTGCATTCATGAGGGATTGCTGCATTCTCAAATGAGTTATTAAAAAGTCTTTCCCTTTTCCTGTTCAGGTTGACATAAATGATCTCATGCCTTTATTCAAAATTGAGTAAGAAGTTCTGCCTGAGCCCTGTCCAACACCGTCAAAAGCCCATTCATAAATCGTTCACCTCATCTGCTGCGCAAAAATTAGCTAAAGCATTTTGGAAAGTGTCTAGAGCACAAAATGAATTATTTCTTATAATGCTTCTTGGATGCGTACCACAGTGTGTAAATCAAGTTATTTCCTGAATTCTAAAGACCTTGCTGTAATTCTTAAGGCCACATTTCAGAACACCCAACTTTATACTTCAATATCTGTTAAAATGGAAGGTCCATTCTATTTTTTTCCAGCTGTATTCCTTCCTTTTGTGTAAACGTGGCCAAGTGCAACAGTATAAAGTCACATGCACTGTCAGCTATCCAATGTAAGCACTGGGCCATTATTCATGTGAAACAGTGCAATTACCCACTGGGACAATGGGAATTCTTGGCCTCTCTTGCTGTCCTAATGTTCATGGTTCACTCTCCCAAAGTCTAGCAATTGTTCCATATCCTCAAGCATTTACTCGAAAGTCTATAAATTCTACTCAAAATCCATTGTATGATATTTGCGGCTTCATTCCAGTTGCCTTATCCTCCTGACCCAACACAATTAATCTTTCCTAACAGTCTTGTTGTGGCATTTGTCATTAAGGATGCTGGAATCTCCTTTTTCCTTGCCTGAGTCCAACAGCTTACTTGGTTGTCAGTGGGAGTGGAAAAACCACTACTGGGTCCTAACAAGAAGAGACGGTTGTCTCAAAAAGCCATAATTTATTGCACGCTAGCTGTTAGGTTTAAGTTATATCAGCTAGTGAGACATTCGCGCAGATCTTCCACTGGCCAGTCAGTTGTTATTTCAGTATAGATGGGAGTTGTGCCTACCTAAACACCTATTGTAACTCCCTCAGAAGGAACGGCCTAGGAAGCTGAATCTTTCTCTGGGTATTTCCTCTACACTCGGAGTCCTCCATAAGTCTCCTTAACAATTGGATTGTTCCAATAGAATTATAAAAAATAATTACTCTGGAAAAGTTAGAATATTAAGTACTTAATCTAACTCCTCACTAATGAAGAAACTGACCCCATACTTATCTCACTCACAAACCCCAGGTCCCTTACACCTCCAGACCTTGAACGAACACCCTCCTTCATCCCCGACACTACCTGTACCCTACCCTCTGGGAGAGACACCCTTCCACAGGATTCAACACCCTTCCTCAAAACCACCACCAAACCCCCACCATCCTCCACTGGAACCATCCCCTACCTCTGAAGGACCAGACACAACCACCCCACCCTCTGCGGCTGCTTCCAGACCTAGTTTCCACTCCTGCCGCAGAATGCGACCCAACCCTCCTCCCAACATCAAGCTTGAGCTGACTTCACTCCCCCAACCGCTGGACGCAGATTGAAACATCCCAGATTTGACATCTACCCTATCCACAACCCCTACCCCCAACTCGCTGGACCCAATTTCTTCAACACCCCCGACAACGAACTGTAAACATTTACCAGCCCGCTTGGCACCTTGCACCCTGGCACATTACAACCTTCCCACCTGGCATCCTACTCTTCCTCAGCTGGCATCCTACCCAGTTGGCATCCTACTTAGCTGGCAAAG